TTAAAACCGTATTTACCGTTCGACAGCCCGTTAGGTTGTTAGGTTATTTCCTCGCAAACTCCACGATCGTAATGCGATAACGACGCCATATTAAAATCTTAGTAAGTCGGGTTTGACGACACACTATGTTATTGTGTTGCACCTTGAGCACGTCCGGGATTGACCGGAAGACACAACGAATGTGTGTATGTGATTTAATCCGTTGCCGTTGGCAGTTTGCTGGATCGTAATAGAGATATGGTAATTATTGTAATAGTATTATTACGTTTGTTTATTGAGTTTCAACACAAAATGTGGTTCAGACGGTGCTGTGGCTTTTCCGTGTAAAGTTATGTAACGTAGAATCCCCCCCCCCCCAAGTTCTGTCGTGTCTATGTCTATGACTTTTGGACTTTGGTAAGCTGATAAAGGGCACACGTGACTCTGCGATAATAACACTATAATACTTGGGTTTAACCGACCAGTCGTGCCGGCGAAAGCTGGTGTTTGTAGTCGGTGTATATATATATATATATATATATATATATATATATATATATATATATATATATATATATACATACAGAAATCTCTCACAGAATTTAGAGCCAAGTCTCTAAGTAAGCCGAAGTGAAGCTGTAACAATTTTAGGGATGCTTTTGTGAAACAATTTACAATTAGGATTAAAAAAGTCCCATCCCTAGTGTGAATTTCTCTATTCCTACCTGTAGTATTAATGAAAACTTAACCTTAAACTCACACCCCGATAACAAGTATTCGCAGTGCTCAGACCTATTTATTTTCAAGCTATTTTCTTTCAATTATCTCCCATCTTAAAATTACCATCCGAAAACATTATTAAACATTATTCAATTTATGGGCCAAAGACATTGGACGCGATATTCTGTATTGTTTTACACAACGGTGCCTTGTAGACATTTCGGCGAGAGGAGACGATTTCTAGCTGTAATTCGCGGTAATTTCTTAACTAATTTATCCAACTAACATCTCGCGCGTGTACTTAGCACGGTTCGTATAAAATACAATTTAGTAGGGTTCGCCTTCTGTTGTTGTGTTGGCGATTCGCGTTTATTGCGTTGTCGTACGTACCTGTACCGTTAGCTCGAATTCCCATTTGCGGTCCAACGTTTTCGCGGTGTACGGACAATGGCAATAAAAACGGGGGATATTGTTGTGGCGAAAATTAAAATAAGAGTTTCCGTCCGGTTAATGAACGTTAATAGACACGACAATAATAATAAAACACATTTTGTCCGGGTATAAAACCGTCTGGACCGCGTAAAACCCTGGAATTTCCGCGGAGAAACCGAATAATAGCGTTAGGAATATATATATATATATATAATATATATATATTGTAATAACCGTCTTTACAGCAATCTTAGTCGTTACTAAGTCCCGGAGAGTTCGAAATACATTTTCCGCCCATTGCCATTCGGGTAATTCAATTGTGTATACTTTCAAAGGCTACCCATTAAATAAGTTTTCCCAAACTTTCCGCGCAAAGCACAAATTATACTCGAATGGCTTTTAAATTATTTACATTTAAAATTAGTGTAAAATAATATAACTGTTGTCGTATTCGTGGCAGGAATATATTTACAAATCATTTGTATATTGGCGGTTGGATTATTGCTCATAACAATAGTGTTTTAGGTCTGTAACGTTGCAATAGCCGCAGTAAAGTATATTTCACAAAACCATTAGGTTCCTCCGATGAAACCTGCCTAAGTCATATTTTTCAACCGATGTACGCACATTCGATAAAGAAAATGAATAGAAATAAATGTAGCACTAATTTTAAGTTTTAAAGTTTTTACAATGCCAAGCCTCACTGATTTCAGCCAACGTAGTCGAGGTTAGAGTATGAACGGCAGCCAAGATAATAATGCTCCAAAGTGAACGGTCTCTGTAAACATGTATTTTCGTTGACTTTAGGCAAACTTACCATACAAAAAGTTGATAGCAATAATTAAGATCAACGTTTGGGAATTTTAAATCGAACACCGACTGCAATATCTCCACATTTCGAAGTCAGGACAAGGCTAAGCAAGGAGATAAATTGACTCTCGTATTAATTAACTTGGCATTAGTCGTACAACGGGTGATCCATGCAGTGGAATTGAATAGGGAAATGGCAATACTTGCTTATGCGTATGACAATTTTGTAATTGGTAGTACAGAAATCGAATCGGTAATTAATACAGAGAGATCAATTGACTCAAACCGAACTCGCATAAAGCCTTAACGTTTGAATCCACGGAACGTCCAAAATGTCAAATGGGTTAGGCCACGGTTTAATCTATGAATCGAAGGAACAGCCAATCGGACATGCCTGGTGATAATTTCACGACCACTGTCTCTTCCACCGGTGGTCTTCTCCTCAACTACGTTTCAAGAATGATTCGAGTATGTACGCACCAAAAAAACACTTGTGCTTAGGGACTGTTGCAATAAACAAAGCAATAACAAGCTCGAACGATGCCGTTGGTTACGAACCATTTATTTGGAAACGCGCATGAAAAACAACGTGTTCGCATCGTAAAACACATACCATCGACTAGATTGCTTTGAAATCCAATATCACCCATCATATATACACGCGTTTAATGCGCTTTATTATTATAGTGTTCCGTCAGAGTCGAATCCCGTACGGTCTGTCTGCCCTTCGGATACCGAAGAAAAACATTAAACCTGTGTGTGTGTGTGTTTGGAAATTTGACTAGGGAAATCAACTGGCATCCCGTCGGAATGGGCTATTAAAAATCCGAAACGACATTTATTTGTTTCCAACTACGAATTTTACTATTGTCAAAACACAATGTCGATGCGGAAACTTAATGTGACTCGTAACGATTCCCTCGATCACGGCCATTGTAGTTTGCACAATGTAATTTGAAAGTGATTCATCGTACTAGCCGATTCCCCAGTGGCCAATACTAACATTCCTCTACACGTTTGCATTTAAGCACCTTGACCAGGACGATTGATTCGATTACAATGTAAAAAGTTCTGGAGAAAAAAATTGCAATTCTTTTACTCGCTTTTCGTAGGCCTACAGCAGTAAAAAGACAGACAAACTATCTTTAATCATTTTCGTCAGAAAGGTCATAAAGTTTTTTCCTATATTCTTCTTTTTTAATCCAGTATTTGATGCTAATGGTATTCGTTGTGATTGAACTCTCAGTATTACCAGATGCCAGATGAAAGATACAATGTATACAACTGGAATAGGACCAGCAGTGATGTATGGAAGTAATTAGTCTTGTTGTGACTGTGTAGGCATAAGGATGTTGGATATAAAATTTAACACAGCAGCCAATTTCCGTCACCGTCAGCGAATTTAAATTGCATTATACCTACTAAACACCAAGTCTCTCGCCGTTACTGGCCAATAGTTTGCGTTTACTAGAAGCGCTGCTAGTTGTTGACACTTACAAAACAGTGTAAACCGCCTCACAGGCGCACTTGTAAAGACATAACCAAAGGGCGATGTAGTATTTCAGTACCTAGAATAGACAAAATAGTATTACACCGCTTTGTCGTTGTAATAAACTCTAGCTGTAAAGAAAAGTCCAAAGTTTCCAAAACACCCGTAAGACTGCAATCAAAGGTAACACGTGGTAGTGTTTCCAAGAGGCAGTTACGCCGAGACTTTATGGCGGTCTCTCGAGGGAACTATTTTACGGTACCGTACACCGTGTGTAGGCAAGTCGATGAAGGGAAACACCGGAAAAATAATCCAACAATATGTATTTTACTAATTTTTATTTTAGCTTACTCTTGTACTCGAGCCCAATACAGTAACTTTTATAAAATGATAATTGTTTTTATTAAAAAAAGGTTCAATCTAAATCAATATTCGTCAACACATTTTTATTGCTGGAAATAAAAATACTTAGATTGTATTTTTTTTAGTAAGTTATAAGTAATGGCTAACAGACACCGGTGATATGAGCCACATTGATGTCAAAAATGTATACAACGTCCTTGTAATATATTATAAATATTTGCGTTTTATCTACAAAGATAAAAAGGGAATACAAAAAAAAAATCAATATAACGTCAGCGACCTTTGCTGCGGGGATTATTTTAAATTAAATTTCAAATACTTCTAACTCGAGACTTCGCCCTAGCCTCTCTGTGTTTGACACGTCAAAAGTTTTTTTTTTAATCTGTTCAGCTTGTACATAATAAAACGTCATTGTGGACAATGGCAGATTCCAAAGCGACCGACGACAGCTTATAATTCAGCAATATTTCGTTCAATGTCTCACCAAAATTATTAATAACTTCCGGTTTCTTAAGTCACCAATGTATTTTGTCGAGTAATATTTTGCAAAGCTGACAACATTTTTAAGTAGAAATAATCACAAAAAAAAGTGTCTGTTTCCACAACATTTTTTTTTTTTAGGTAACTTCTTGAAATGTTTGAAACACTTACATATTGCTACAAAAATACTGTGTTATTAGTATAATTAAAGGAATATGGGACATTGTATTTTCATTCACAGCGATTTATCTGTACCATCTGAGTAGGATACATAAGTTGTATAGGCATAATCTAATGGAATTGTAAAACAAAAATGTAGACAGACGTTTAATCGATATGTCTAACAGAATGAAACAAATTGAATTTGTCTTTTTATTCTTTTTACTCGCCGCAGAATAAATCTATTGCCGCAACGATGTTCGGCAGTGATAAAATTAAATAGATTTTATAAGGTTTTTTGGGTAGACCAAAAAATGGGTTATGTTTGAAAGAACAAATAGGAGTAAGGGATATATTCGAGGGATCATCTGCACGAGACAAGCGCCTCGTATATTAGTATGCCTGAAATGTAATAAATGTATGCGCTCAAACGCTGAGCATGTATTCCAAAGAGAAATTTTTAGATATATTTTTCAAACACAAACTTGATAAATTATATAGACAGCTGTTATGTATTATTATTAAATAAAATTATTATTTAGTTTTATTGGGATTTTGTTGCTTTTAGTGCGAAACGGATACTCTTGCGTGCCTGTCGCCCTTGCTGAAGGATTGGACATCAAACTGAACACTGCAGTGAAGCAAATTACTTACGGTCTCAACGGCGTCGAAGTATCAACGTACAATCCACGTTCCAACGCCAGCGGGCAGACATACAAAGGTACGGTTAAATCTCTTCCAGTGAAATATTACCTTTTAAAGAAGTATCAGTTATAGAGAGTATATTATTTTATTAAAACCATGGGTCTGTTTCTGTCTTTCAAAAATGTTTGGCTGTAGAAATTGTCACTAGAAATGCATGTTTTACTTAATTCTGAGTTAGTTAGTCTAACATTTAAGATGTTTTATTTGTGATTTATTCGAATAATATTATTAGTAGTTTCCTAAAAAACGGTATTTTGAATTTTTTTTAATAAAAAAATTATTCTAATAAAATATTATTATTTTTTTTATTCAATCAATAGGTTATTCGATTTGTTTTGATTGTTATTTATTATTTAATTATATTTTTGCCAACCGACTAGATTATTCAAACAGATCATCAAATATTTAACTTTACTGTTTTGGTCTATCTTAACGTGTCGTCGTACAAACTAGTGGTGATACACTATGCTAATGCCTTTTCTGTTTGCAGGTGACATTGTGCTTTGCACATTACCTTTGGGTGTCTTGAAGCAATCGACTAATCCGAAAACGCAAAATTTGCCCAACACCGTGCAGTTTTCTCCGGCGTTGCCCGAATGGAAGGTGGCGGCAATCCAACGTCTTGGCTTTGGCAACTTGAACAAAGTGGTGTTGTGTTTTGATCGGATTTTCTGGGACCCTAACGGCAACCTGTTCGGACACATTGGCACCACCACGTCCAGCCGAGGAGAATTGTTCCTGTTTTGGAATCTGTATCGTGCTCCCGTTCTGTTGGCTTTGGTCGCCGGCGATGCTGCCAACGTTCTGGAAGAGGTATCCGACGACATTATCACGGCCAGGTGCATGCTAGTGCTAAGAGGAATATTCGGCACTGCCAATGTGCCAGATGTAAGTAGAAATATCTTATTGTTAATATTCGAAAAACCTTAAGACAGATCCTATGGCGGAGGAGAATTTAGGATCTTTCAAAATGCATAATAGTAATTAGTATTAGACCACTAAAGGATGATAAAAATGCGTTAAAAAAAACAACGACGTTAACCATCACTTGCACAATCAGAGGAGAATAGATTAAAAGGATTACAATTGTGTAGTATGTCGCTTATAACCATATTTTGGCTATGCGCAGGCCGGTGGTAAAATAATTCAAATACATTTTAAAGAATTAACTGAATGACAATAGTGAAATTAAAGTAATACAATAAATAATAGCCGTACTTGCCGTACTGTGTGGAATTTGTGTAGATTGCACTTTGTTGTATTGGCCGTTGAACGTTTGTATTATTTTGGTTTACATAAATTAAATTAACTGTTTCTCGATAACATTATGTGTACCTATGCTTATGCAAATCATTGTATTATAATAATGTGTTTATGTTTTCTTGAAATATTTTATTGAGATGGCTGTACAAATTAAAAATATATATCCTAAAAAACATATATTTTATATAACATAATATACTATTATATTAACATTTTTTACCTTGTCATAAATCAAGTTGTAAAAGGGAAAATCTCTATTATTTTTTTTATTACTGCTGTGTATTTCTAATGTTCTTCAACTATCTTCATGGAAAATCTAACGTCGACAGTAAACTTGTACACAACTTGATAGAAACCTCGAATCGGGAAATCTTCAACATTTTTAATAGTTTAAACTATAGTTAAATGTTATAGCACGGCTCTAATATAATATTTTTGATGCTGTAAAATGTCCATAAAAAATCTCGTTCAACCCGTTTGTCATGTTTCGGCTTGTGGTTAAATTAAATGTTCAGATGCCAATTTTATCTCATAATGTGTGTCGTATTAAGGCGTTTGTTTTTCCATACGGCTAATTGAATGTCTTTATGATCCTTTTAAATGATTATGAAAAAATATTCTAGCGATAACGTGTTACAATTATTAGTTTTATATATAAACAATTTATAAAAATCGTATTAAAAATTATCATAATAAAGCTGTGAACTTTTCCTTAAATATTTCCAGCAAACTTTGTAAACATTTTTGAAACATAACGAATTTCTGACCCACACGCTGTTATATATTAGGTTTTAAATATTTCAGTAATTTTTTCCAATATTGTTATTAGATCATAATTTGGAAGGTAACCAAATATTAACACTACATAAAATATATTATTTCTATAAAATTTTATAAATTTGAATGTTATACATGCTTTTTTAATCTTTTAAAATAATAAATGTTATATTTGTAATATTTTCTACTATATACTTAAAAAAAAAAAAAATAGTTTATTACTACAATTTGGAAAGTATTGTATAAGGATTTCAAAAAATCTATTTTTCAAATGTTAAAAGACATATTTACAAATAATATTGTTCTAAAATGTTTCTTAATAATTTTTGAATATTTAAAAAATATTACTAACGACATGGTATTTAGGTATTATACAAATATTTCCTATTTTCTATTATTTATTTTCTACTTAAATTTTTATTTTTACGATAACATTTCTTGTATAATTTAATAATATTTAACTTTTATTTAAATTTAAATTTTATTTGGTATTAATTTTTAAACATTTTAATGTTCTGCCAAAACATGGTTTTAAAATATTAATACAAATTTTTGACGGCATTTCGAAAACATCTATATTTGTTTGCTAAGATACTGATGTGGCCCGATTAAGTTGTTTTGGGGTTTGGTTTTTTTTTTTTTTTTTGGACGTCCAACATGAGTATAATTTTTTGTTTGTCTTTTGTTTTCAGCCAAAGGAGACGGTGGTGACACGTTGGAGAGCCGATCCTTGGGCTCGAGGATCTTATTCTTTTGTGGCCGTGGGAGCTTCGGGTTCGGACTACGATTTGCTAGCAGCTCCTGTGTCGCCAGACGGATCGTCGGACGGCGGGACTAAACCGAATGGAACCAAACGCCTCTTTTTCGCCGGTAAGAACACACACACATACTGTCCTAAGACCGGGTGTCACCGGGTTGCTGGTTATCCCATATCATAGTCGGGTGTTAAAAATAGTCCACTTACGGTCACCGTTTCCATCGAATACGATGCTACTCACAAAGTACAATATTAAAAAAAAAGAGAGATACGGCGCAGTGCTCTCATAGCGTTATGTAAATCACATTTCATTTGTCTTTACTGGGACACACTATTTTCTTGTGTGTATTGTTGAACTCGGTTACCCGTTCGCTTAGGGCACGCCGAACTTGCATGACTTCGTTATGGTAATTTTTTAAAGATTATTATACACTATACTGTAGGGGCAGTTGACGCGCTAACCGATTACTCTTGTGCTGCTGTTGTAACACAGTCGTCAAGCCGATTTATGGCCGCCTTGTCATAGTGTGATCATCGCCACGTCGAAAGAGTTCATATTGTACTTTTTTAGGGAGAAATTAATTTCCACGTCGTCGCAGACACAAAAAGAAATACCAGACGCGACTCATCCCCTGCTTTTCCCCCTTTTGACGGTTTCCCTAAAATTAATAGAGTCGTTTCGAACGTGTACATTATATTATTATTACCTGTGAAGGGTTGGAATGTTCATGCGTTATTCAGGTCTTAATTCTTCACACAGTCAGATATTATTATGCGACAAAACAATTCCGTCGGGTCATTTCCAAAAAAAAAAACTCAAACAAAAAGTGAAACATTCATAAAACGGTTCGAGAGGTTTGGAAAATATCTTGAAAACAAATTTGGTTAGGGAATCAGTTTTTTTTCAGAAAATGTGTTAATAAAACCTTTTTGTTATTTATTGTTGCACTTGAATTCTAAAAATTATTACGTTGTATACTTTTAAAAAAAAACTATCCATACAATAATATTTAATATTGGCTAAATGATTTTTGGAATTTATTGGAAAATTGTATTTATAACATTTATTCAAGTGTTTAAAAAGATGCATCATTTTAAAATTTGAATTATTGAGAAAATGTATTTAATTTGTTATGCTTTCACAATAACTATTTCATTATCTGCTAAAATATGTTCCGCTTAAATTATTCGTACGGTAAAAAAATATTAAATCAGAAATCATTTCGACAATATTGACAAATATTACCGACATAATATGTTTTTACTTAATATTACTTAAACATTTTAGTAATATATATGTTAATATGTCGTTCTGTGAATAATTCAACTATTTTTTAAATTATAATATTTTATAAGTGACAATATTTCTTAATATTATAAAAATATAATTTTAGTATAATATATATATTATAATATCTGCAAGGGCGTATTTTGGCGAAACCCAAACAGTTAAATTCAAATAATATTATTTTAAGATATTTAACTAATTATAATATATTAAATAGAAAAGTATAATATTTTATAATAGCGATTTAAAAACATACCTAAGTGTTTCGATTGTTTCTTAATTTATAATATATTATAAACCCAATGATTGGATACCTAGAAAAAACTTAAGCAACCCTTGTGGTTAGTAAATAAAAACAAATGTCATTATTTTATTTAAATTATTACAATTGAAATATTATTTTGACAACATACAAATATTACAAATTGTACATTAATAATATTTTTCACCAAACGCTTAAAAAACAGTTATATTTCTATATTTTCTTTGGTTGTGTAAGTAACATTATCAGTTACATCTATCAATTGGATGAATTTATATTTTGTTCAATAATTACATGATATTTTCTTGGGAAAATTTTGCTGGTCAGATTTTTTTTTAAACCCAAAATCTTTTTCTAATTTCTTGTTACAGGTGAACACACTATCCGCAATTATCCGGCTACGGTTCATGGGGCTTTTCTCAGTGGACTCCGCGAGGGCGGTAAGATATGCGATCAGTTGTTGGGTTGCCCATACGCGGTGCCCACAACTGGCCAGCAGTAAAACAGTATTTCATAACGTCAATCATAATACGCCTTACACATAATATACTTTTTTTTTGATCATTTATTTTTAAACGATAATTATTTTGTTAGTATTAATTTTGGCGTTTTCATAATTTTTTAAAACGTCAAACATTCGGTTTTTGGCCAATTTTAAAAATAATAACTATTTTTTTTAATTTTTTTTGTATTCCAATGTTCCAACCCGTTTTTAAAGGGTATTTTAGAGATTAAGTTTAAAATTGAAGTTTTTACTCCAAAATCAAGTCCGTATTTATCTGTCCGCGTTTTATCGAAATCGATTACTTACTTAATTACTTGAAAGGATTTTACATGACAATCCAACGAAACCGCATTTTACAAAAAAGTCGACCTTTTATATTTTTTTCTCAAAACATTAACTCGAGTCAACCGTCGATGGTATTCTTTTGACATAACACAGTTTTTTTAAATAAAAAATATTTACATAATTTTGGAGTAAGATTTCGGAAAAAATAATTTTTAGCTATAACTAAGTGTAACGAGTGATGACATAATGCGAACTAACGTTCATTTTATAATTTTATTTGTATTTTTTGATTATTAATGATTAATTTTTTTAGTGTACTCGACGTATTGATTTTATTTTTCATTTTTTGATGTTTCATTTTTAGTGTACTTGGCGTATTGATTTATTCGTATTTTTTTCATTAATATTTTTTAATTACATTTTTTACTAGATTGTGGTATTCGATTTTTTTGTCATATTCGACTATTGTGTCTTTTTTTTTTTGTTTCGATTAAATAAAGTAATTATGCATTTAAAATTGTTCTTGTTTGCCTTTGTGTATGGACAAAATCTGAAAATAACAGTGTAATATAAACGTTACCCAATATAATATTATGTATGTACATATTACAATCTGCAGTCAGAGCGCCCTATCGATTTTCGACGGCCATCGACCGAGTAAGTAATCCGAAGGGACAGATGGCGTTGCACGTTGATTAAAAAAAACCAAAATTGTTCAAGACAATGGCAAGACGTTGTGGTGCAAACAAAAACCGAATTGAACGATATTTAACGTTAATTCTGTTTTTAATACAATAATAATATGTACCTACTTGTGTGGACGGTATTGTCGATGGACCACATGAGCCCCAAGGTATATCTTTGAAACGGGTATGAGTTATCCGTTCGGTCATCGCTATCGACGCACGGCAATAGTGTGTACACAAGATGTAATTTTTTTTTTCTTATAGTATTCCACCCGAGAAGACGTTTAAGTGTCTCGAACGTGTGTGTGTGTGTGTGTGTCAGTCGCACATAGTTATGCGGTCGGTTTTTTAATCTGCACGGTTCATCGACAAGTCGGGTTTTATTGGCCTCGTGTATGACAAGTTGCTCGTTGTATGACATCCCGATCACGACCCCGGCGTGCAACAACCGCCTCTAAGTTATAAAATAATAATAAAAAATAATAATCGTAACAAGCCCCACCGAGTACGTCACGAGTCAGCTGTCTCCACGTTTCCCGTTCCCATCGCTTTGTATACCTGTATATTAAAACCATCTACCTGCAAGTATTCCTCCACCTGAAGGCCTGCAAGTTTTCAACCCTTCAACGGTTTCACCCTGGCACCGAGGGGATCGTCTGAATTTTGGCTCACTTAAAATGCCAAAACAAAAAAAAAGTACACTTTAGGCTGTCATGAACCACCAATCGACAGTCCGTTATTATTTACCCTAAAGGCTTAGAAGATACTTCCATACAAAAACATATTCGGTTAAATTTAATTGTATAGTTATACAATATTATATGGTATTGCGTTTATTGTTAACTATTCAAATACCGGATGATTCATTTAACCCACTACACCGGTTGTCTTTTCAAATAATAAAATTGACATTTTATAGTTTTTCTTTTTGAAAAAAAAATTGTGTCTGCTATAAATATAATTTGTCTTTATTACAATATTATACAATATTTTTACTTTCATATTTTTTTTTTTAGTATTTTCTAAAGCTCTATCAACTTTTCAATTTTAAATGGTAACGTATATATTTTAATAGCTTTTTAAATTAATTACAAATATAAACCCAGCAACACTTCACCTCTCATCCTTAGTTCTAAACTATAATAACTTTGAGAATAATTATTCAAAAGTGATTATCGACCAGTCAAAAATTATTCTTATTTAAAATTTCAATTAAATATATAAATTAATTATATATATATATATATATATATATATATATATATTATGTTACAATTTAAGTTTTAAAAGTCGATTAAGCTCTAAAAAGTTATGAACAATTTAAATATTATCCAATAACATGAATAAAAATGTTTTCAAGAAGAAACATCAGAAAATTGCAATTAATTTAAGAGTAAACTAGTGTAGGGTGTTTAAAGAATCACCCGGTAATTGTTATTGGCCAAAAAACAAAGACGAGTCACCTCTACTTGAATGATTCTATGACCTATATTATTGGAATAAAAAGTTATCTATAAAGTTAGATAATCATTAAGTTAATTGTTGTACATTCTAATGATAAATCACAAATATTAATCTAATGAAAAAGTAATAAACTAAACTAAAAACAATATTATTATAAGAATTCTATTCGAATAATCAATTTTTTTTCCAATCGTGTAATACTTTATTCATAATATAATGTCTCCTATATTTACGGTTATTGGAATATTCCTAACTTTTATAAATTAAACAATCTAGTTTTGAGGACAAAGGGTTCAAAATGTTTTTTTTTTAATTTAACCAAGTGTTTATTCATTTTCCGACAGGTCGCTCTAAAAGTTTTTAAAATCTCGATAAAACTATTTTACATACTTTTTGGCCAGTGATTCAATGGATTTTGAAAAGTCACAAAACAATATTTTTACTCAAGCGTTAATAGAAATTCTTATTAAAAATTTGAGAAAATGTATAATATTTGATAAATATGTTTTAATCGATTTGAGCAATATAAAATAATTAAAAAATAAGTAAGTGATTCGATAAGATGAGATCAACTTCATCGCTGAATGTCGAAGAAATTATTCAAAAACTCTTAATGTATTTATTGGAACTAAATTTAATAAACTAATAATGTTTCAGTGTTTTTTTATTACAATTTGTCCTCGATATCTTTTTACATGGTTTTGTAGATTGTCCTTCCATTTAACGTTGTTTACATTTGTATCAATAATATACATACTGTTTACGCTTTAATACATACCTAAGACTTCATTCTTAATTCTATCTTAGCTAGTCTCTCCACATATCCAACGAAACGTTTCAATTCAGCTTCTTCCATTTTCCCCTCATCTCTATATGTGTATATTTTTCATTAACAATTGTTTAAAACAAAATAATTTTAAATATTTTATAAACGTGACCTTTTTTTTTTTTAAGTGACACACTGACGCTGATCACGTTTTCTTTGGAATTCTGAAAAATAGAAATAATTTTACAAAGAAAAGAAAGTATTTTTTTTTTCTGGGCAAAACAAATGACGTACACCTGTTTGTCAGTCGTGAAGTCATTGCGACCGCTTACAAAAAAGGGTGAAATGAACGCGTACACCAAATTTAAACAAAAGTTAATTGTTTTATTTTTCTTTAGTCAGACGTCCGGCGTTACTTACTTCGTCTTGGCTAATTTTTAGTAAAAAAAAAAAATATATAAAAGCACCGGAACGATGGGAGATTGACACGACGGGAAGGGGGGGACTGTATAGTTGTACATAGGGAATAAGGTGAGCGAAAACTTTTATATTCTTCTGTCCAGATTCAAACAGACTCAAGTCGAACCGCATAAAAAATATGTGAGTGAATAAAGTCCCCAGGAGGATTGCCGAAAGCTTGAAATGTTTCTTCGAGTTTTTTTTTTACGATCCAGGGCTTACAAATCATTCAAAGCCTGTTTGCACACCGACTCTGGGGAAATACGTATAGGTGAGAGAGCTGCATACGTTTAATAAAGACTACACAATCTCTCGAACGGTTTACTTCATTTTCCGCATTGTAAAGTTATGCGTATATGTTGTCATGTATACATATATATATATATTTATATTTATACATTATGTACACAAGCTACAACATTTAGCTGATGTTTTGCTGTCACAATGTATTTTTCACGGCGCAATACCTTTTTTCCATAAGCTGTCGATCATAGGTCATTGTATATTTTTAAAGATATTTTATCAATATGCGTATACCCACGACGGAGGCAATGTATTTAGCTAATGCACATCGTGGTGTTCACTTGAGACGTCCAAACTATCATTATCGTTTGAATAACAAAAGCTTTATCCTTTAATAAAGACCAGAGCTGTAGAACAAACCATTCTGCCGCCGGTCTAGATCATAGATGATCATGGAACAAAAATAATAATTTATGAAACTCGCGTTATTAGTAAAAGGATACAATATAAATGATGGAGATGGATTTTTAACGCGTTAATTATCTTTTTCTACTTTCCGGTTTACACGAAGACATTTGAAAATAAGCCATTTAATTTGTTGGGTTTTTTAGCAGTAAGCCAAATTGCCAATAGCATAATTATTCCTTTCTTCTCAACTCACTGTGCTGATGGCCTAACGCGTAGACATCGAACAGTGAACAACTTTGAATATTTGGAAGATACTTTACCTATTGAACGAATTCAAAGGTCCAACCTCGCACACTGTCAACTGTGTTAATTTATGAAAAACTATAAATCTGACTTCAGAGGAAGGGAATGCGACAAGCGATTCCACCGCCAACACATCTGCCAGGGCTTGCCACCTATGTATATGCATCGTCTTCCTGCAGAAATATAAATGTACATACATACATACATACCTTTGTCCCGGTCTTGTACGGAGAGGTTATTATTAATACACTCGTATTCGGCTTGTGCGCATAATAATATGTAACGCACGCTGTTTCTCTTATTAGAATACAAATTAATGCGTTTCGCAATGAAATAGTTCAAAGAAACTTGCACGTACAACAGTTGGTAAAAGAAGCGCGCAAATGAATAAAAGCGAGGTTTTGTTCGCTGTACAATTAATAGGTACGTTGTAACGTCTTATAATACAATATTATGTCTGTACAGCGAGAATTCGTAAGCAGGTTTTTTTTTGTATAATATATTATTCTGCGTCGAAATTAAATACAACATAGAATATGCGCTCATGTTAACTCAATAGACTCAACATTAAAAAAAAATAATAATTGTTATTCATTAGATGTTTTGTACAAATAAAACTCGTTTCGGATGCACAAGAAAAAAAAATCTAAAATGTAATTTTCAGAAGTAATTATCACCTGAAAGTTATAAGCTTTTAAACTATGAAGACCATTCGTCAAATTTGTAACCACATCTGCATTCATTTTTTATTTATAATACTATTGTATATTAAGTTATAGGTATTGCTATTATTATACTGTTATGTACTAAATTATAAGTTATCGGCTGTACTATCTAAAGTGAATTGAAAATTTCTTTTTATCCTAGTATGTCTAGTAAAACGTTATTCTACCTGTGAGTTTTCCCTCGACGCTTAAAATAATATTTTGTATTTTTCTTTGTCAACAGGCAGGGTGTACAAAATGAATAATTTAGTATACCGTTTCTTAGTAATTGCAAACATCACAGCTATATCTTGTGTAGATCATAATGGGTTATCTACTATGTTTTATTGATAATAAATGGCTATAATTAAAAAAAAAAAGAAATACCGCTAACAATAATATCGTTTCAACGAAAC